TACTAAATCCCATCATTTAGATATCAATACACTTTTAAAGATAAGGGCTTAAGTGGCTTTTCTAACATTTTAAAGAAAATCCACAGTGAAGCATGGATTTGAACGTAAGTGGCCTTCTGTGCCCTATACAGGCACCTCAGAAGCAATTCACTCCTTATGGTATTTTAATGCCAATTTTTAACCAGTTATGAACCCAATAGTGCCTTTAACAAACTGAAATTTATCTTGCAAGGAACACGTGAATATAAATATACAATCTATTTCCTTCCATTAGGCATGCAAAACAGACAAAAATAGCCATGGACTGATTCTCTTTTAGGCAGTCTCATGTGTCGGTTGCTTCTCCGATGCCATCAGCCATGCTATGTCACATGCCATGCCTCGTCACATGCCATGAAGTCACCCAGCCAGGGGAACTGCAGACCAGCTCCTCACCAGGCAACTGGCAGCATAAACAGGGCATGAATTCCAGTGCAGCTCCTATGGGAGCTTTTCAGTTTGTAAAAGTCACTGCCGAAAAATCGCAATAAACATTTAATGGACTTTTTGATCATTTTGAAAAAAAAAGTGGAGCTGTAATAACATACTGGGCTCAACAGATGAACATACAGCTAGAACAAAAAAAAGTGTTGGGTAAGAATTAGTAGTCTACCTGACCTCTGGATGAATTAAGCAGGTTTCTGAGAGATAACCTCCTCTACTTGGAGATGAGCGCAATCTGCTATAAGCTGCACAACCAAATCTATCCATATGTATCACTGGATTTTCTTTGCAGAAAAATCATTCATAAAGAATTAGACATAACTGCATGAAAATAGCATAATTTATTTATATCATTAAACACTACTCAAAAACAGTTTCAGCAGCCACATCCTTGTATTATCGTCCTTTGGGTTACAGTAATAAACACTAACATACACACAGATTAATAAGCAGAGCCAAAAATTAGGACCCCTGTAGTTAATTAAAAAGTGAAAGAGTAAGTATATGCCCCAAACACTTAGAGCTAAGATGCACTCTTTTGTGTCTGAATTAGCTCAGCAAGCATGGAAAGAAAAGGGAAAACAAAGTTCTGCACAAACTTGGTGGGAAATGCCACTCATAGGTCTGTTTGCTCTCCTAAGGGAAGAAAGTGGAAGAATTTGTGCACAGGAGGGAAAGTGAAGTTTGGATCCTCTCACAAACAGATTTACATACTGAAAGGAAAAACATATTCCCACTGCACAGCACTACAAACCTTGCTCAGTTTCTGCTGTAGCCACCCATCTGCAAGCAGCTGCACAATCCCCTCGCTGCAACCCCACGCTCCCGCTCACCACCAAAGAATAGACTTATCTCCAACAGTTCTCAAAACATTGCCATGAAGCCCTTCTTTAACCAAAGGAGAGGACACGACTCCTCATTTCACATAGCTGAAAACAATTTTGGACCCTGACTGTGCCTCCTCTGTTTACAGAAAGCTGAGCACCAGGTTGGACCCCTCTAAGGGGCCAGCCCGTAACACAACCCTGGGAGGGAAGCTATGGGAGAGGAGACATAGGACAGGGCTTCCACATTATTCCCCACAAGCTCATTGTCAGCCAAGCCCCAGCTCCTGCCTGCTCCTTCCACAGCTGCAGCAAAAATGACTTCAGGTCTCAAAGATGATCCACACACCACAACAGAGCATCTCCCTGGCGAGCCATCCTCTATTCATCAAAACGTTTGCAGCCTTCTTGGCAGGAGAAATCCCTCTCTTGAATACTTCCCCGTAGGATATATCTATAATGAGTCCAGCTCAGGGCTTGTCACCTGCACTTTTAGGTGGCTGTTCAATGACACAAAACAGCTTTGCAGATGCTGTTAAGTTGTGCTACATGAGAAAACTGGGAGAAAGCAAAGAGGTGCTTGAGGAATAGGCACAGATAACGTTCATCTTGCTGTGACTGAATTTTATTAGAATATCTAGGATAGAGGGAAGGAAAAAAGGACAAAAAAGAATAAGCCAAAGCAATTTCATTAATCTTGTCAGGGAGGGAAGGTGGTAATTATTACTCTCATTTGTGGAGATCAGCTTGAAAACTGGAAAAAGTTAAAGAACAATATATAAATCTGAAAAGATACATAGATAAGGGTTTATATTCTTGTATCATTTTACTACAGCCTCATGATTTTGTAAGTAGCTTCCTCATTTGAAAATGTCTGGAGATGGGAACATTAGAAACCATATTGCTTTCATTTCTTTACCCATTTTTTTTGTGTGTTTTTCAAGCTTCATTAAATAGCCTTATTCATAGCTAAATATTTAGCTGAAGATAAAGGCACACTGAAAACAAAGCTACATTTTTACCTGTTTCCCAGCAACTGCATCTTCTAAACCAAACAGCATTAAGGGAAGTAAATGTTCATCCTTGAACACTGTTCTAACTAACATCCACTAAGAGAAATTCCACCAAAGCAGGCTTTTACAATATTAAGCCACTGGCACTAACTTAATAGGATCTCTAGAATAATTAGAGCTATTAAGTAGTAATCTCTTCACTAATTATTTTAAGGAGGTCCTTTTGCCCCTATGTACTTCTTGTTCTTCCCAAAAGTGCCGTCCTTCTCACAGAAGACTGTGACTTAAACCACAGTCAAACATATCTAAAAATCAAGTGTTTCATTTTACACATGGTAGGGGGGGAAAAAAAAAAGCTAACCATTTTGTTACATTTTTTAAGCATATAACTCCACAAAGTTATATGACCAAACTGATTGGAGTATTAAGTTGATCTTTTCCTAATTAAGCAGACTAGACAAGTGCTCTATCACTACCAGATCCCTCTCAGGAGGAAGAGAAGACTGGATCACAAAGAATTTTAAGGCAGAATAAAATATGAGCAATCCAGACTAGATCTCACTATTACTTTTTTCTTCTGTACCAACTATTTATGCATATCTCCTCTTGTGCTGTGTGTTATACAACACTGGACATACTTTTTGAAGCTATACCTCAGCAATTTGAAAAATAGATCATCATCAGATTTACATCAATCTTTATTCACTCAAAAAGTAAGCTGCTCTTTTAATAGTTACAAGCAGCCACTCTGACATTCCTCTAAAACTTCTCCAGGTGAATCTGAAGATTTAAAGCAATTAAAGTCTCTGGCTGCTTTGCAAATCTCATCCCATGATTCCTACTATTTTAAAAAACCTTTTCCTTGAGTGATCTTATTACTTCTATTTCACCTTTACCACCACAGACCCATAGATAGAGTTACTAATGGTTCCTGTATGTCATGTAAGGGACTGTGTCTTCAGTTCTTCATCACAGCTGTGTCACCACTTGCTTTTGTGACCCAGAGCAGATGCTGAAGCATCACAGCTCCACTCATAGGAGGTGTCTGTACCATTTGTTCCATCTTTAATCATTACAAAAATTGCGTATGTCACTCCTAAGGGATATCTATGGATGTTTTACAACAGTCAGACACACACAGCTCAGCCCCAGGTTTGCAGTGCGTTAATTAGAGCACAATCTAGGTCCTCAGATTATTACAGAAAAGAAATACAATTTAATAATTTCTGTTTTAATAGGCAGGACTCTTTCACTGAGATATTGACCAAAAATCCTTGCTGTTTTTTGACAAACTCCAACCTGACTTTTCAGACAATATAATTTAAAATTAAAACTCTATTCTAAAAATGCATGCAACTTTAATTCAGCACCCTCTGTCTTAAAGCTTGAGATTGTTTTCCAAGTCTGTATTATGACAACTGCCACCTCACACTTTCTACCAAAGGCAGAGTTTGACTGGCACAACAAATGTGTGTCTGGCAAGCTGTGCTTGGTGCAACAGTCAGATTAGCTCCTGTCTGGTAGGAGTTTCTGCTTGAAAATCTAATACTAAAGCAAAAGACAAGAAAGCCTACCGTTAATAATGTTTGGCTTCAGACCCCTTTTAAAATTCACTCATCAAAACACATGGTTTCAAACACAATATTCATGGAAACATGGATCCTAAAAGTGATTTGGCAGAATACTCCTTTGCACCACCTGTTTTAACCATATTTTCTCTCAACTAAGCCCCATAGTCATTTCATTGCAAGTGAGCTAAAAGGAAGTAGCTCTGTGGAAACATGACTTAACCCATCCATCCTAGAATAGCTAGGCTCTAAACACATCAAAGACAGGCTGCTTCCCAGCAGTGCTAGTCCTGCTGCCTGGACTTAGCCTCCTTGAGAGTCTCCATGAAAGTTTTCGTGGATACAGTCAGAGGGAAATCAGCCTTCTCAGCAAATTCTTATAGAAGGAAATTCCCAGAAAGCCTATCTGAGAGGCCAGCTCTGGTGTACTCATTATCATTTAACTGCCCAGGTAGCTGCCATAAAATTGGAACAATTAGAAATCAGCCAATGAGTTCTTCCTTGACAAGCTATAACTCATTGCAAGTATGGATGAAAGACTCTGACCTGTAATAATAAATCTCTGTAGAAGCCACAAAAAATTTCTGCTTGTTTTGGCCACAAGCTATCTCTCTACACTTGCAGGGCATGTAGCAGTAAGAACATAATAAATAAAATAAAGTAAAATAAAATAAAATACTATGTACTTAATAGCCTCATTAAGACAGTATAATGCAACTACCTAATTGTCAACAAACCAAAACCATGGAAACTAAAGAAATAACATGACTGTCTTCATGCTTGTGGTTCCCTTGAAAAAGTTTTACAGTGACATGTATCACAAGTAACTAAACATAAGAACCAGTGAGTGCATCTGCACCAAAAAAGGCAACAGATCTGAAAACATCACAAGAAAGTACTGAGAGCTGTTATCTTTCATTTCACTGCTGAAGCGTCCCTCACCAAACTCAGAAACATCTGCCAAGCAGCACAGACATGAACTAACTACACCGACCATAATGCTAGTTTTAAAAGGTTTCTCCAGAATTCCCTTCAACTTGTGCACAGTCACAATGTAGATTTTTGGCAAAAATCTGTGACTAAAAAAGGCACAGAAAACTACAGGAACTTACCTTGCAGCGATAGATGAAGATCATCTATTTCAGAGGAAGCCTGCTCCTCTGTTGAGGGAGATGACTGCTTTGATGCCATATTAAATTCTATGGAGATTCTTTAATCAATTTCCAAACTGAAATTAAAAAAAAAAAAATAAATAAATAACAAGATCAGTACAGTTTTACATAAAAATTGGTAACATTTAAGTGTGTGGCGTGGAGATACACATTTTATTTTGGATTTTCTTCCTTTAGTATAAAGCAACTGTTCCATCTGCATGAATCCAAGCTTGGGTCCCTTGACTCTTTTCTAACGGTGCCCAGCAGTACTGCACAACACAAACCTTGGATCCCAGTGTGTCTTGCCATGAAAACAAAAGCACTATGATTAGGAAAATTCAAGCACAGTTGCTTTCTTTGAGAAAACCAGGGAGACAAAGGTTTACAGTGCCTTCTGCAGATTTATGGCTGCCAAACCTCATTTTAAAAAATCTCTCTTCCTGTCCAGATAATTGTTGCAGAATGGAAACAATTTAGGCAGCATCTGCAAAGATTAAGATGAAACGAAAAAGCAACAGTTACCATATCAGAATAATCACAACTGCTGTGTCTGTCCAGTACCTTGGTTACTCAGCCCCCACGGGGGACTTTTTCCCAGCTCCATTTTTCTCTCCCTGGATACCTCCTCTAACTCTACTGCAACTTTAGTAAACTATATGCTATGTCTTTCTTAAAATTGTAAAACTGTTTCTGTTACTGCAGTAGCTACATTGTTCAATTTGTTCTTGATAAATTTAGCATCTCAGTATCCAAAAGTTAAACAAATTCAAAAAGAAAAAGCTGAAAATCAAATCAGGGCTCACCTTAAACAAGCTTTGTTACCTAAATAACAGTAACCTTTTCATCAGACGTACTAGGATTCACACGCCATATACTAATAACTCATCCACCAAGGGTATGTCAAAATAAAGGGTGTGAATAGATGAGTAAGGAAATACAACATTAAAGAATGACAGAGGAATTTTTACATTCAGTCCCTTGTAGATATGAATCACAAGGCAGCCTTTGTTGACTATATACCATTTTTCCTCACTCCCTGTCTCACTGGCTGCACAGAGAGGACAACACGTGTTTAACGAGGAGCTATTCAATGTTTTCTTCTCCTCACCCTCAACAATGCGTGTCCTTGTGCTTTATCCAAGAGCTGCTCTGATGACAGGATTATTAAGTTCCTCACCAGATTTTCTATGGCACTCATCACCCTGGCATCTGAAGGCTTCACAACTGTCAGTCAATTCACATCTACAGCATCTATGTGAGATCAGAGGTTATTGCCTGCATTTAGAATCACAGAACAGTTTGGATTGGGAGGGACATTTAAAATTCACCTAGTCCAAATCCTCCACCATGGGACATTCTCTTACCAATGACTGGCAAAGACAGAGAGAGAGTAAAGGGATAAAAAATAGTTGCTAATTTGGCTCTGGTTTCCCAGAGAAATAGGTATTGGTTCATATGGCCCAAGCACCAACTCCACCTGCTGCACTGAGTACG